AGAGTCTCACTATGTTGCCCAGGCTGGAGTGGTGCAATGGAGCGATCTCGGCTCACTGCCACCTCCACCTCCCGAGTTCAAGTGATTCTCCTGCCTCAGCATCCCAAGTAACTGGGATTACAGGTGCCCACCACCGCACCCAGCTGATTTTTGTATTTTAGTAGAGATGGGATTTCACCATGTTGGCCAGATTGTCTTGAACTCCTAACCTCAGGCGATCCACCTACCTCAGCCTCCCAAAGTGCTGGGATTATAGGCTTGAGCCATTGAGCCGGCCTCATTTTTAATTTATATTAAAATTTGTATTCGATTTTTGTTGTGCCAGGGAGCCAATATCATTTTTCCAGCTCAAGAGAGAATTTGTAAATGTTATTCTTTATCAAGTGTGAAGGGATTTGAGAACAGATTAGGAAAATGGGTCACTCTCCCTGTGGCTCTATACTTGATGCTTGCATTCTTCCTGCAGTTACAGAGGGCAGCTCTGAAGAGACACCCAGATCCTGTGTGCCATAGATTAAGGAACACAAGAGGGTTGAAGGGTAGTCAGAAGGCATGTCAGATGAGACTGCAGGAAGTTTTTCTCTCACCTTTTGGGCTATATGACCTCAGTTACTCTCTACTGTTAACTGAAACTACTGTTAACCTATGTTTAGCCCAAGTGAATGGTCTCCTCTTTGCTGCAGAATTTCCTGGAGACACAAGCAGGGATATGAATATACTCTGTTCACTTTTTGAGTCTGACATCCTTGCCGTAAAAGTGAGGAAAATCAGATGTTTTTCTCATGTATTTAAAAAATTCTTTAAAAACGACATTATATGTTACCTGGGCAGTATAAATACCTAAGAAATATCCTCAAATTCTACCACTGTAACGATAACACGTTTTGTTTTTTGGCATAGATTTCCTTTCAGTTTTTGAAACTTAGATTCTCTGATACTAAGATATATTTTAGTTATTACTTTTAGTGTTTGGCTGGTTAGGTAGGGTGGAGTTTGCTTCCAAAATGCTTTGAAAATTAAATCTTTATGGCAATGGAAATTTATGAAAAACTTGCTATTAAATTATTTTTATGATTTATTAAGAAAGATTATATGTTATTCAGGCTTTATTTTAGATACGAATTTTAGCTTTTAGTAAATTTAGAGCAATATTAACCTTTTAATAGTTAAATAATTTACTTTAGGCATTAGTGTTTTAATTTTTCTTCCTTTTCCAATATTTGATTTATGGGTGTGGTGTATATTAGTAGTAGACCATACCAATATGAGCTACACATATAAATAATTTGCAAAGAATGATTTAGTTCCATCTTTTGGGTACCAGGAGTTTGGAGTTCACTGCTAGGGTTGGTGGGAATATTTATTTATTTTCATTTTTATAGCGAATGGGGTCTTGCTATGTTGCCCAGGCTGGTCTTGATCTCCTGGCCCCAAGCGATCCTCCCATCTTGTCCCTCAAAAGTGCTGAGACTACAGGCATGAACCACCACTCCCAGCTAGTGGTGGGACTCTTGAAAGAACATTTTCTACTTCTCTACCTCCTTAATAGCAGCACAGAGATTTCTGAGAGCAGCAGTGTTAGAAAATGACACCTGCTCACCCTGGTGTCTACAGTGTCATTACACTACTCTACCAGGCGTTCTATATATCCCCAAAGAAAAATGCCCGTAAGGGACCTTCACTCCTTTAATAAATTCTCTAGATCAGAAATATCCAATTGATAATGAACTGCAAAGGGAAACCACATATGTCACTTTAATTTTTCTAGTAGCCACATGAATAAAAGTAAAAAGAAGCAGGTGAAATTAAATTTTAATAAGGACTCTATTCAACCCACTATATTAAATATTTTAACATGTCATTAATATAAAATCATTAATGAGATATATTGCATTCTCTTTTTTGTACTAAGTCTTTGAAATCTGGCATGATTTTACATTTACAGACATCTTGCTTCTAAGTAGTGACATTTCAAGTGGCCGAAGGCCATCATACTGGACAATGAAGCTCTTGATGCGTAGATGGTAGATGTGTTTGAAGCTTGAGGCTATCTTAATTCTGTAGGAAAGTCATTAATTGTTGTTAAAAAAAATCTGTTTAAGACTAAAAATCATTTTAATATTAATATTTCATTTTAGGTACAAATACAGGCATTTATGAACAGTACTTTTGGGAAAATCTTATCTTCTCAGCAAGCTCTTCAGCTGCTTCAAAGGTATTCATAACACTTTAAACAGTGTAGTTTCTAGGTGGGATAACTTTAAGTCTGAAAATACAATTTCAAATTAAGATGTTGGAAATCTCTCCTACATAAACTTTAAAACCTGCAAACGGAAACCTTTCAATTATCACTAACTAGACTGATAAAAATTTGAAATAAAGAATGATATGTTTTAATTGCATTTTTTTTTTTTTGGTAGACGAAAGTCTTTTGGTAAGAAAATGAAATTATTTCGTTTCCCCTCCCTGCCCCCAGCCATGTAATATGTTTGCGGTTAATTTTATAGGTATTATTGGAAAGGGAACAAATAATGTTTACTTCTACATGCTGAAAGAATTTCTAAAAGTGAGATTATCTAAGAGTAATAGATAACAAAACTTTCTATTTTCCCTCCGGAGGGCTCCCACACCTTAAAAATGTTGTGTATATTTAAGGTGTACGACATGATATTTTTATATATGTAGTGAAATGGTTACTACAATCAATTCAAATAACACATTCATCATCTCATCCAGTTATCTTTCCGCCACATTTTTTGTGGTATGAGCACCTGGAATCTTCTCTCCTTTAGCTTCTTTCCCCTCTATGCTAACAGCACTACTCTCTCAAAGGGTGGGGAATCCCAGATCAGAGGGCTGAGCTGGACTAGAAGCCTTTCCCTTTCAGCACTGAGAGGGGTCAAGACCCGTGTCAGGGACACTGGTGGAACTCTTCCCTGAGAGCCAGCAGAACTGGGTTTGGGTCTGGCTTTGCATAATTCCACGACTGTAATGATGGAGACCTGGTAAGATCTTTGTAAATAAAGTCAAAACAGAAATAACTTGATTTTGACATGTGACAGTACTGCATAGATGGCAGGTACCATTTTCTTGGCGACTTCTGGCTCTGGCTCTCTCTCTCTCTCTGTGTCTCTTTCTGTCTTTGTCTCTCTCTTTTTACCTGTAGTATGCTGGTTTCCATTGATTTTATTACCTGAATGTTGCAGTTTTTAGTATTTCCTGTGTGTCATTCAGTCTCTGAGTGGAAGTGACATTTGGCTGACAAAGTCGTAATTATGATTATGGCTATTTGGAATTATGTGAGCATTATCACTGGCAGAGGGACAGTCAATGTATTCTCTTCCATCTTCACTAGGTTATCTCCTCACTCATCTTGTAATCTGTTTGTCATTTTCTCAGGGTGTCTTATTTGAATCCCCAGATTTGTCTACATCTCCCTGTTATAGGCATTTTTGATTCATTTGTAATTTAAATAATTATTTTTGTAACTCATGCAGATGTCTCTTTTCCACAGCTGGGACTGTACCTCCAGTCTTGTTCATTGCTTTATCCTAGGACAATGCATGATATGAATATATGTCAAATGAGTAAATGGATGTTTATTATGACAGCAATTCTTAAGTATATTTCTCATTTAGTTTTTAATTATTCAGCTTCAATAACTTTTAGATTTCAGAAGCTGAAGATTCCCTGTCTTCAGTTGGAAATAAACCACACAATTGAGCTTATTCTTCAGTACTATGTGGCCGAACTTGATGCTATCAAGAAGGTAAGTGTCATGTTCATAAATAAAATAAAAAGAAAAAAATTCTGAAAGTATTTGCCATCATTGTCTCGTGCCAAGCTTTTCAGAGTGATTATTTCACTGCTAAGGAGCGCTGATGCTCCCTTCTGTGTGGGAAGGTGCTTGACAGTGTATATTGCTGGACAACCACATTTACACCTCTTTGCTCTGAACTGTCTTGCCGGTTATCCCACCATCATTTATTGAATAGGAAGTCCTTTCCTCTTTGCTTGTTTTTGTTATTACTAAGTATGTATCCAAAAGAATATAAATAGTTCTGTCATAAAGACGCATGCATGCGTATGTTCACTGCAGCACTATGCACAATAGCAGAGACATGGTATCAACCCAAATGCCCATGAGTGGTAGACTGGATAAAGAAAAAGTGATACATATACACCATGGAATATTATGCAGCCAGAACAAGAACGAGATCATGTCCGTTTCAGGAACATGGAGGAAGCTGGAGGCTATTATCCTAAGCCAGCTAATGCAGGAGAAGAAAACCAAATACCACATTTTCTCACTTATAAGTGGGAGCTAAACATTGAGTACACATGGACACAAAGAAGGGAACAACAGACACCGGGGCCTACTGGAGGGCGGGAGAAGGGAGAGGATCAGGAAAAACACCAATGGACACCAGGCTTAACACCTGGGTGATGAAAAAATCAGTACAACAAATCCCCATGACATGAGTTTACCTATATAACAAACAAACAAAAACATGTACTCCTGAACTTAAAAGTTAAAAAAACTGTCTTATTGCCACTCTTTTCTGGTGTGAGTATAGCAAAGCCCATTTAAGTTAGTATTTTTGCCTCTAGAAATATGGGCTTTAGATACTATTAGGACAGATATTAATATTATGTAGCTATGTGCTCCTTTTGAATACCTCCTTGAAATTTGGGATAAGGGCAGAAAAAAAAATACATGTAATAGGAAATAAAGGTGAAGAGAAAATTAAGTGTCATATATGATCAACATCATTGTTTCAAAGTCGCAGTTTATCTCTGATGTACATTTACATATTTATTACCTACTGTATATAAAACATGAATAATGGTAAAACAATACACATATAGCTGTATATATATTTTGCCTTCTCCCTTGTATTGAATTCAAACATTAACGCCAGATTTTTAATTACAGCTTTATCATTCTCAGAAAGATGACCCCCCTCTTGCTCGCAACATGCCCCCTATAGCAGGGAAAATCCTCTGGGTGAGGCAGCTCTACCGCCGGATAAGTGAGCCCATCGATTATTTCTTTGTAAGCCAATAATTAAATTTTAGAATGAGGATTTTGGTGGTTTTAATATAACAAATGTATTTTCTCCTATATTATTTGTGTCCACTAAAGTAGCCAACAAAGAGCCAATTCTTTTACCAGGCAAGGAAAATTTAGTGTATAAATATACTTGAGAGAGACAAAGTCAATTCTTTCAGGTTCAGTAGAGAAGCCAGTCTAATTACAGTTATCTCAAAGTCAGTGAATCTTAAAACTTTATGTCTTTTAATAACACAGGACACTTTGTAAAAACCTTTTAAAAATAAAAATAAAGAATCTGAAAACACAATAAAGTACAGGCATAGCATGGAAGCTTACTTCTATGTATGGGCAGATAGGTCACTGATACATATGCAATGAAGGTGAAGATAAACCCAAAGAGCGCATTCCTGTATGAAGAACTGCCACTGAGAGCGAAGTATAATACAGTTGATTCATTCTCTATGTCCTTGAGATTATTAGATTTCTGAAAAACAGGACAGTCTTGGGCCCTGTTGGCATTCTGAAACTGCCAGTTTGTCTTTTCTTTGTCCTTGTTATTTTCTTAAATTTTATTTAAGAGACAGAGTTGCAAGGTGGAGTTGGTTTGCTTGATCTTGTGTCTTTTGCCTAGATATGGAACAATGTAACTACAGAACAGTAGTTTTGCAAGTAATTATATTATTTAAGCATTATTAAATAAGAAGATTCTGTTATTTCTCTTTTGCTGCCATCATTTATGTCATTGTTCTGAATAGTTAAGAAAAATTAAAATCCTGAGTCCCTACTCGGGGGACTTAGTTGCTAATTGACTTTGCAGTGGGAGGGCAGAGATTGCCCTATTTGACCTGTGAATCAAAACCTGTATCTTTTGATTTTTACATATACAAATTTTATTTATTTTTTAAATATTTATTTTATTTTATTTTATTTTATTTTGAGACAGAGTCTCACTCGTGTTGCCCAGGTTGGAGTGCAGTGGTGCAATCTCAGCTCACTGCAACCTCTTCCTCCCGTGTTCAAGCAATTCTCCTGCCTCAGCCTCTGGAGTAGCTGGGATTACAGGCACCCACCACCATGCTTGGTTATTTTTTTTGTATTTTTAATAGAGACAGGGTTTCACCATGTTGGACAGGCTGGTCTCCAACTCCTGACCTCAGGTGATCATCCACCTTGGCCTCCCAAAGTGCTGGGATTACAGGCATAAGTCACTGCACCTGGCCAAGAAATTTTACTTTTATCCTTTGATACATGGCTACCTTTTTTTGTGTGCTGGAATTTGGGAATTTGCCCTGATAGTCACGGTTCAAGGAACATCAGTCACTTATATCTTGCCCTGAACAGTGGGATGGGATTAGAAAAGGAGGTAGAGACTCTGAACGCCTGGGGCAGGCTGTGGGGCTCGAGACCTCTCTTTTTAAACTTTTCTTTCCTTTTCCAGTCTTCCCTCTATATGCTGATAATGTTTTCTGCCTCTTGCTGATATGGCCTTCCCCATCTCTGTTTTACTCTGAGGCAGACTCTTACCTGGTAGCATAATTATGTGATATCATTTTACATATAAATACTTTCATTATTTGGATAGAAAAAAATTATGCAATCTTTTAAAGTAAATCTTTCTCTTCCCTTAAAAAACAGAAAAACTCAGACATTTTGTCAAGTCCAGAAGGTAAAGCTGTCATCCGTCAGTATAACAAGATCTCGTATGTGCTGGTGGAATTCGAAGTGGTCTATCACACAGCCTGGATCAGAGAGATTTCACAGTTACATTATGGTGTGTATAAGACTGCAGTGAACCTACAAAGTAGGGATTAGGTGATTTTCAAGGAGCTTATAGTTCTGGAGAACTTTTTCCATCCCTTCCACATAATCTTAGGATAGTTACAATTTAGATTTAGGGATGCTACAGTGGTTTGTTTACAGTTGTTAATAATATGCTGATTTTATAAGTGAAAATGATCATGACCTTGAAGTTGACATACTTAACTTATGACTTTCCACTGAAAAACAGTATTTGAAAGTAAAAATATCTTTAGGGATATTTCTCCATTGTTTATGAAGGTGTTCATATTTAGTTGTATCATGTTATAGATTCAAATCTCAGTTCCATTCTGGGGAGAAAAAATTGTATCCTGCTTTCCTTCCTCTCTCCCTGCTTCCCTTCCTTCCTGTGTCCCTCCTTTCTTTTCTCTCTTTTTTAATAACTGAATTTAATTTCAGATTTGAGCTCCAGGGAGTGAAGAATTTTAGTGCACTGTGTCTGAGTGCCTCTGAGGGGAGGATTTACGTGTTGCCAAGGCTTTAGGCAGAGTTAAATGTGAGACACGGGATGGTTCTAGCCATCATCCAGCCATCCGAGATGCTGTTTTTGTGTGGACTCAGTGATTGGTCAGTTCAGATTCCTGCTTTTCTCATTCTCATCTTAACCTTAAGCTCTTAGTCATAATCTCAACTGTAAACTCTTATCCGTGACCTTGGTGGAACCCTTACTGTGTCCCCTGTAGAAAGGTTTCTCCTTCCCAAACCAGGATCTCCACCTCAGCAGAGCACAGCATTGCAGGCACAGGAAGGACAAGTTCTGCAGGCGGGTTACTGGAATGATGGTGAAAGGAGCCACTCCTTCTTCTGCCTCTTGGTTCCAACTCATGTATTTTTGCTGTCTGGAGACACAGCAGTTATCTACAGGCCATTGATTAAGAGCATACTGCATCCTAGAGGACAGTGTCCCAGCCCTGTAGGGTGTGGTCCCTAACAGGAACCACAGTTAAGCCTTTAATAAGCCACTTTTATCAGGCCAGCTGTTTCTGGGTGCTGTGCTATACGGTAGGACCCTGTGGATTATAAAGAAAGCCTGTTTATGGAGCAACACTCTCAAAGGAGCTTTGAGAGGAGCTTAAAACGCACACTATGGAAAAAGGTAAAAGAGAACTTTAAACCACTGAAGCATATACTGTTTTGCTTCTACAATGCTCTGCACTTAAAATTTTTTTTCTCCTGCTGGTTTTTCTGTCCCTGATGCCCTTTGTCTTATCTGAACATATTCAAAAACAAGCTCAACAGTCACCTATTTCATACAGCCTTTCCTTATGCTTCCTGGCAGAAAATAATGTCTTCTTCCTTCAGAGTCCTCCACGCCCTTTATCTGTAGCTCTTTCTCATACCCGTACTGCTTTATAGATCTATCTTGTCTCCCCTACACATTCCAAGCTTACCCTGTATGTCAGTTTCATCTTATATCCTTTGAATAATGGTCATAGCTAACATGTATACAGTGCTCACTGCGTGCCAGGCTTTGTCTCAGCACGTTACAGGTATTATGCAAATTCCTTTAATCCTAACAGCAACCCTACAAGGATCTACTATTAGCCTTGTTTCACAGATGAGAAAACTGAGGCACAGACACATTAAGTGGCTTGCCCAAGATCACACAGCTAGTAAATGGCAGAGACAAGATTCAAATTCAGATAGTCTGGCTCCCAAATCCGTTCTCATAACCATTATATTGTACTGTTTCTAACAGTGCCAAGAATGGTGCCAGGCATCTTACGGCTCTTAAAATATTTTTAAAATGTCCAGTAAGTAGAGATAAGATAATTTTGATGAATATTAATTTTATCAAGTTTTCTGAAGCGTTTGTTCCCCTTGTGAACCTTGGTTGGCCCCTATTGGGTGCAATATACTCATTACAGTGAATTGATGCCCAGGAGAAGTGGTTATGTATAAACAATATGAAGTAGAATTCTTTCATACTTTCAATACGAAGTGAAATTTTGTCATGTTTCTTTTCACCAGAAAAACAGTCAGTAGAATTCTTTAACTTCTTTCATTTCATTTCAGAAATGAATTGTTCTGGAGGTCTTCCTTTGCCCTTTTGATGTGACTGTCCTCAGCCACATAGGAGCTTGTAGTAATAATTGGATACGTAGCATCAGCCTCCTTTAGTTGGTTGCTTTGTAGAGTTTCTCTGATGGTGATTCACACAGGATGAAATGCTCATCTTTCATGCCCGGAGCAGACTTCCCGGCTGTCAATATTGGTCTGTTTTAGTTGTCTTGTTGACCTTTTTGCCTTTTCAAGCAAGTTCATTACAGTTTTAAGAAAGATAGATTTCAATGTTTAAAAGTTCTTTTGGAATTTTGGGGGGAGGACAAGTGACTTCTTTGTTTTTATTTTACTTTAAGTTCTGGGATTTCTGGGATATATGTATGAATGTGCAGGTTTGTTACGTAGGTATACATGTACCATGGTGATTTGCTGCACCTGTCCACCTGTTATCTAGGTTTTAAGCCCCGCATGCATTAGAAATTTGTCCTAATGCACTCCCTCCCCTTGCCTCCTCAGTCCCTGGTGTGTGCTGTTCCCCTCCCTGTGTCCATCTGTTCTCATTGTTCAACTCCTACTTATGAGTGACAACATGTAGTGCTTCGTTTTCTGTTAGGATAAGTGATTTCTAACCCAGCTTAAAAAGATTCCAGATGAGTTGGGTAAGATTTGTAGTTGAAATTGTCATGAAAACTGCATTATTAAGAGCCATATCAAGACTGAGTTTATTTGATGAGCAAAAGTCAACTAACTTCAAAGAGATATACAAACTATTTTATTTTACTGGAGAATTTCATCACAATCACCAAGTCTTTCAAACCTAACATTGTTTTGTTGATGTGGCCACATTCAACAAGACAATGTGAGGTTTGGAAGATTCGGTGATTGTGATAAAATTCTCATGTTAACAGTCTTTGTTAATACAAGATGTAATTCAAGCTAGCGCATACTCGTCTATAAGTGTTTTATTATGTCTGGAGAAGTTCTTTGTGTTAAGCTAACAAATAATTGAAGGCTACCCAGTAAGAACTGTTTGGGCTTATGTATTTCAATTTATAATACAATGCATATCTGAAAATGCCTATTTTTATTAATGATGTTTATGTGAGATATAGTGTAAAACATCTTCCCCTCCATTCTGGGAGTTCACAACTCAATGGTGTTAAATAAATATTTCTTACTGATATTGAGCCTAATTTTCAGAAATTTGGGATGGAGATTTAATTTAAATAAACCTCATTAAAGAAGCCAATTTGGAGTCTGAGTGGGAAAGGGTTTGAAATGAGGTGTGGCATCTTTTGTGATTCTAACCACCTTCTGGTTCTTTCCCAGGGGGCAAGTCATATTCCAGAAGATAAACTAGCATTGTGTTATAGATCTCTTCGACCCATTCAGAAAAATATTTCAGTTCACAGCACAAAGCACCATTCTCGGTCAATTTTTCTCTCCCTGGATCTGATTTTGTGGCTTTGCAGACACTCTTCATTCATTTATCTAAGTTTTGAGTACTCAGTATGTGCCAGACACTGTGCCTTAGCACCTGGGGTATCCAAAATGTTTCCTTTGCCCTCAAGAAGTTAGTCCAGAGGGCAAGACAGAAATATAAACAGAGCTGGAAGCGGAAAGGAAATCCAGAAAGAGTAATGTCAATCATTATTTATTTGTAGCTTTACAAGCCACGCTTTTTGTTCGACATCCAGAAACAGGAAAGTTGCTGGTTAATTTTGATCCCAAAATTTTGGAAGTTGTTCGGGAAACTAAGTGCATGATAAAAATGAAGTTGGATGTACCAGAACAGGCAAAGAGATTGCTAAAGTTGGAAAGTAAATTTAAAGCAGACAAACTGTATTTGCAGGTAAGATAGATTATGTTTTCTAATTATTTTTGAAGGAATTTTTTTGGTAAAAGAAAAATTGGCTGGGCATGGTGGCTCACCTAGCACTTTAGGAGGCTGAGGTGGGCAGATCACGAGGTCAGGAGATTGAGACCATCCTGGCTAACACAGTGAAACACACTGTCTCTACTAAAAATACAAAAAATAAAAATTACCTGGGCGTGGTGGCATGCGCCTGTAGTACCAACTACTGGGAAGGCTGTGACAGGAGAATCGCTTGAACTCAGGAGGCAGAGGTTGCGTTGAGCCGAGATTGCGCCACTGCACTCCAGCCTGGGAAACAGAGCCAGACTCCATCTCAAGAGAAAAAGAAGAAAGAGAAATATATCCCTGCAGTTATGTTTCATGGCATTGAGGGAAAATTTGTTAATATGTTGATTCTTGATAGAATTAAAATATTGACTTGCAAACCAAAGAAAAGATTGGAAATGGAAAAAAAAAAGTGAGAAGATTATCAGAAATCAGATTTAGGTTTCCAGATAATGACAGTGATAAAATATTCTTAATGTAATTTTATAGATCTTGTGCATTAAATTTTGTAATATACTTATCCTAGAGTACTTATAAGATATAAATTAATAAAGTGAGGTGACTATATAAGCAGTCATGATTCTCAGCATTGTGGGGTAAAAAAGAGCATTATTTCAATTAAAGTTCAGTAGTGTGGCAAACTAAAATCTAACAAAATGAAAACGGCAGGCAAAAACTGACATTAAAATGTGCTGCTGGGCATGGTGGCGCACGCCTGTAATCCCAGTACTTTGGGAGGCTGAGGTGGGTGGATCACTTGAGGTCAGGAGTTTGAGGCCAGCCTGGCCAACATGGTGAAACCCCGTTTCTACTAAAAATGGAAAAATTACCTGGGTGTGGTGGCGTGCACCTGTAATCCCAGCTACTTGAGAGGATGAGGCAGGAGAATTGCTTGGACCTGGGAGGTGGAGGTTGCAGTGAGCTGAGATTGTGCCACTGCACTCCAGCCTGCGTGACAGAGTGAGACTCCATCTCCATTAAAAAAAAAAAAAAAAAAAAAAAAAAAAAAGAGGTGGAATCAAAGTATATTCAAATCCTAACACACAGTTTCTAAAATGTTTAACAAGAGTTAAGTAACATGAGAATTTCTTTAGAAAGCCAGTTAAAGCAGCAAGCTGCATTAACTCATCTTTTTTTCTTTTCTTGGAAGGCTATGGACATGTATTTTGGGAATGCAGAAAAAAATATAAATGCAAGGACATTTGTTTTCCAGTACCATTGGTAATAGTAAAGGACTGGAGTCTAACTCCAACAATAGAGAACTGATTAAATATGAGTTATAAGATAATTACACAGACATTAGTGGAATAGCTGATAATTCAATGAGAAAATGAACTCTATTCCTGTGGTACAAAATACATAATTTTATAAACTACTTTCATAATCAATAATATAATAAATAAATTACAGACTTTTCCTGTTTCTTGATGGGAAGAGTAATATTAATCTGCCATTTTAATACATCATTATATTTAATTCTCTTGGTTTAGTAAAAGTCTGTGTCTGAACATATGGACAGCTTGATACTGAAGTTCTTCTGGAAACTAATTTAAGAAGAATATCAAAGAATATTTCAAAAAATTATCCCACCAAAAGTTATAATACATTTAAAATGACAATTATGTTAATATTTAACATTAAGAGCAATAGTAGAAAAGGTAAAAGTATTAGAATAGAGATGCTCTGAAGAGTTAAAACAATTTTTAGCAACAAAATTTATTTATGTATGTGTACAAATTTATGAGGTACATGTGCAATTTTGTTACATATGTAGATTGTACAGTGGTGGAGTCAGGGCTTTTAGGGTATCCATCTAGGGCTTTTACAGCTAGAGAGGAGAAGTCAATGTATGAATAATTTACATTGTACCCATTAATTTCTCATCATCCACCTGCTGCCCACCCACTCTCCCTTCTGAGTCTCCATTGTCATCATTCCACTCTCTTTGTCCTTGTGTACACACCCAAAACAGTTTTTAAAAGGAACAGCTTTATTGAATGTAATTCACATGCCCGTACAATTCACCCAGTTAAAGTATACAATTCAATGGTCTTAGTATGCAAGGATAACTCATTTTACTGCACTTTGCTTTGTTGCTTTTTGCAGTTATTTCATTCTTTACAAACAGACGGTTTGTGGCAACTCTGTGTGGAGCAAGTCTGTTAGCACCATTTTCCCAACATGTGCCTTTTTCACATCTATTACATTTTGGTAATTCTCGCAATATTTCAATTTAAAAATTTATTACAGCTTTGTTATGGCAATCTGCGACCATGATCTTTGATATTACTTTCATAATCTTTTTGGATGCCATGAACCACGCCCCCATAAGATCACAAACTTAATCGGTGAATGTTGTGTGTTCTGACTGGTTCACTGACCAGCCATTCCCCCATCTCTTGCTCTCTCTTTGGCCTCCCTACTCCCTGAGACACAACAATATTGAAATTGGGCTAATTGATAACCCTACAATGGCCTCTAAATGTACAAGTAAAAGAAAGAGTCTCATCTTTCATTTTAAATAAAGAGCTGTAAGTGATTAAGCTTAGTGAGGAAGGCATGTTGAAAGCCAAGACAGACAAAAGCTAGACCTCTTGTGCCAAACTGTTAACCAAGTTATGAGTACAAAGAAAAGTTCTTGAAGGATATTAGAAGTGTTACCCCAGTGAACATGTGAATGATAAGATAGTAAAACAAGGCTGGGAACGGTGACTCACACCTATAACCCCAGCACTGTGGGAGGCCCAGGCGGGCAAATCGCTTGAGTTCGGGAGTTTGAGACTAGCCTGGGCAACATGATGAGACCCTGTCTCTACAAAAAATATGAAAATTAGCCAGGTGGTGGTGCATGCCTGTAGTCCCAGCTACTTGGGGGAGGCTAAGGTGAGAGGATCATTTGAGCCCAGGAGGTCGAGGCTGCAGTGAACCATCCACTACCTTCCAGCCTGGGTGACAAAATGAGACCCTGCCTCAACCCCCTGCCTCACAAAAACCCCAAAACTGAAAGATGGTCTTATTGTTGATGTGGAGAAAGTTTGTGTGTTCTGAATAGAAGATCAAACCAGCCACAACATTCCCTTAAGCCAGACCCTAATCCAGAGCAAGGTCCTACTTCTCTTCAATTCTATGAAGGCTGTGAAAAGTGAGGAAGTTGCAGAAGAAGAGTTTAAATGTTTAAGGAAAGAAGCCATCTCCATAACATAAAAGGGCAAGGTGAAACAGCAAGTGGTGATGTAGAAGCTCCAGTAAGTTATCCAAAAGATCTAGCTAAGATCATTGATGAAGGTGACCACACTAAACAGCAGATTTTCAAGGTAGATAGAACAGCCTTCTATTGAAGGAACATGCCATCTAGGCTTTCATAGCTAGAGAGGAAAAGTCAAAGCCCAGCTTCAAAGCTATGAAGGACAGGTTGACTCTTGTTAGAGACTTATGCAACTGCTGACCTGAAGTTGAAACCTGTGCACATTTACCATTCTGAAAATCCTAGCGCCCTTAAGAATTATGCTAAATCTACTCTGCCTGTGCTTCATAAGCAGAACAACAAAGCCTGGATGACAGCCTATCTGTTTGCATTATACTGTACTGAACATTTTAAGCCCACTGTTGAGACCTTCAGCTGAGAAAGAAAAAATTCCTTTCAAAATATTACTGCTCATCAACAATGCAATTCAAGAGCTTTGATGGAGGTGTGCAAGGAGATGAATGTTGTTTTCATGCCTACAAACACACCTATTCTGCAGCCCATGAATCAGGAAGTAATTTTGACTTTCCAGTCTTATTAGTTAAGAAATAAATTTATAAGGCTATAGCAGCCATAGATCATGTTTTCTCTTATGGTTTGGGCAAAGCAAATTGAAAGCTTTCTGGAAAGGATTCACTATTCTAGATGTCATTAAGAACATTTGCAATTCATGCGAAGAGGTCAAAATAACAACATTAACAGGAGTTTGGAAAAAGTTGATTCCTAAACTTATAGATGATTTTGAGGGGTTCAGGACTTCCATGTAATGTCAGGTGTGCTGGAAACAGCAAGAGAACTAGAATTAGAGGTAGAGCCTGAACATGTGACTGAATTGCTGCAATCTCATGATCCAACTTGAACAAATGAAGAGTTGCTTCTTATGGATAAGCAAAGTGGTTTCTTTTTCATTTTCATTTTTTGCCAGCCAGGCGTTAAACATGGAAAGAAAGTTGTTTCTTGAGGTGGAATTTACTGTTGGTGAAGATGTTGTGAACATTGTCAAATGACAACAAAGGATTTTGAATATTCCATAAACTTAATTGATAAAGTAGGGGCATGGTTTGAGACAAGAGATTCCAATTTTGAAAGTTCAACTGTAGGTGAAATGCTATCAAACACCATGACATGCTTACAGAATCATCTTTTGTGAAAGGAAAAGTGAATTGATACAGCAAATGTCACTTTTCTCTTGTTTAGCCACTTCACCCTTAAGCAACCACCATCCTGATTAGTCAGTAGCCATCAACATTGAGGGAAGACCCACCACCAGCAAAAAGATTACAACTCACTGAAGGCTCAGATGATTGTTAGCATATTTTAGCAATAAAGTATTTTTAAATTAAGGTATGTACATTTTTTTTTTAAGATGGAGTCTTGCTCTGTTGCCCAGGCTAGAGTGCAGTGGAGTGATCTTGGCTCACTGCAACCTCCGCCTCCCAGGTTCAAGCATTTCTCTGCCTCAGCCTCCCGAGTAGCTGGGACTACAGGCACATGCTTCCATGCCAGGCTAATTTTTGTATTTTTAGTAGAGACAGGGTTTCACCATCTTGGCCAGGCTGGTCTTGAACTCCAGACCTCATGATCCACCCTCCTTGGCTTCCAAAAGTGCTGGGATTACAGGTGTGAGCCACCTCACCCAGCCTAGGTGTGTACATTTTTTAAAGATATAATACTATTGCACACTTAATAGGCTACATTACAGTATCAATATACTTTTTCCTTTTTTTAAATTGTACCTTAGGGTCTGGGGTACATGTGCAGATCGTGCTGGGTTGCTGCATAGGTACTTACATGGCAAGGTGGTTTGCTGACTCCATCCCCCTGTCACCTATATCTGTCATTTCTCCCCCTGTTATCCCTCCCCAACCTCCCCAACCCCACTGTCCCTCTCCTAGCACCCCCCAACAGACCCCAGTGTGTGATGATCCCCTTCCTGTGTCCATGTGTTCTCATTGTTCATCATCCACCTATGAGTGAGAACATGCAATGTTTGATTTTCTGTTCTTGTGTCAGTTTGCTGAGAATGAAGGTTTCCAGACTCATCCATGTCCCTGCCAAGGACACAAACTTATCGTTTTTTATGGCTGCATAGTATTCTGTGGTGTATATGTGCCACATTTTCCTTGTCCAGTCTATCATTGATGGGCATTTGGGGTGGTTCCAGGTCTTTGCTATCGTAAACAGTGCCTTAATGAATATATGTGTGCATGTGTCTTTATAATGGAACAATTTATGATCCTTTGGGTATATACCCAGTAACAGGACTGCTGGGTCAAATGGAATTTCTATTTCTAGATTCTTGAGGAATTGCCACACTGTCTTCCACAATGGTTGAACTAATTTACACTCCAACCAACAGTGTAAAAGCATTCCTATTTCTCCACATCCTCTCCAGCATCTGTTGTCTCTAGATTTTTTAGTGATCGCCATTCTAACTGGCATGAGATGGTATCTCAATGTGGTTTTGATTTGCATTTCTCTAATGACCAGTGACAATGAGCATTTTAAAATATATTTGTTGGTCCTATGCAAGTCTTCTTTTGAAAAGTGTCTGTTCATACCCTTCGCCCACTTTCGAATGGGGTGGTTTGTTTTTTTCTTGTAAATCTGTTTTAGTTCTTCTTAGATTCTGGATATTAGTCCTTTGTCAGATGGGTAGATTGCAAAAAATTTTCCCATTCTGTTGATTGCCAGTTAACTCTAATGATTGTTTCTTTTGCTGCACAGAAGTTCGATCCCATTTGTCTATTTTGGCTTTTGTTGTCAATGCTTTTGGTGTTTTAGTCATGAAGTCCTTGCCTATGCCTATGTCCTGAATGGTTTTGCCTAAGCTTTCTTCTAGGGTTTTTATGGTGTTAGGTATTATATTTAAGTCTTTAATCCATCTGGAGTTAATTTTAGTGTAAGGTGTCAGGAAGGGGTCCAGTTTCTGCTTTCTGCACATGGCTAGCCAGTTTTCCCAACACCATTTACTAAACAGGGAGTCCTTTCCCCATTGCTTGTTTTTGTCAGGTTTGTCAAAGATCAGCTGGTTGTAGATGTGTGGCGTTGCCTCCGAGGCCTCTGTTCTGTTCCATTGGTCTATATCTCTGTTTTCGTACTAGTACTATGCTGTTTTGATTACTGTAGTCTTGTAGTATAGTTTGAAGTCAGGTTGCGTGATGCCTCTAGCTTTGTTCTTTTTATTCAGGATTGTCTTGTCTATGTGGGTTCTCTTTTGGTTCCATATGAAGTTTAAGGTGTTTTTTTCCAGTTCTGTGAAGAAGGTCATTGGTAGCTTGATGGGGATAGTGTTGAATCCATAAATTACTTTGGGCAGTATGGCCATTTTCACAATATTCATTCTTCCTAACCATGAGCATGGAATGTTTTTCCATCTGTTTGTGTCCTCCTTAATTCCTTGAGCAGGGGTTTGCAGTTTTCCTTGAAGAGGTCCTTTACATATTTTTCAACATAACTTTTATATGCCCTGGGGAACAAAACATTTGTATGACTGACTTTATTGTGGTATTTGATTTATTGTGATGGTCCAGAACTGAACCTGCAATACTTCTGGCTACGACTATGTTCATGAAGTTGCACAACCATCACCACAATCAGAACATTTTCATCACCCCAGAAAGAAACTCCCTAACCCATTAGCATTAATTCCCCATTTTCCTTCAACTCTCCCCACACCTGTTCCCTGGCAACCACTAATCTTCTTTCTGTCTCTATGAATTTGCCTATTTTGGACATTTCATACAAATAGAATCAAACAATTTATGTCTTTTGTGACTGGCTTCTTTCACTTAGTATTTTCTAAGTTTATTCATACCATTTCATGTCTCAATACTTTATTCCTTTTTATGACTGAATAATATTTGATTGCATGGTTATAGTGTACCACATTTTAGTTACCTACTCTATCAGTTGATTGTCATTTGGGTTGTTTCTATTAGATATTTTTTGGCTATTATTAGTAATGCTGTTGTGAGCATTTATATACAAGTTTTTGTGTGAATGTATCTTTCATTCTCTTGGATATATAGTGAGAGGAGGGCTTCAGTAACTTGGTAACTCCACGTTTAACCTTTTGAAGCACTGCCAGACTGTTTTCCAAAGTGACTATCATTTTACATTCCTGCCAGCACTGTATGAGAGTTCCAATTTCTCTACATCCTTGCTGACACTTGTTATTATTTGTCATTTTTATGATAGCCATCCTAGTGAGTGTGAGTGGTATCTCCTTTTGATTTTGTCTTTGTTTCTCTAATGGCTAGTGATGGTTGAGCAACTTTTCATGTGCTTACTAACCCTTTGCATACTTTCCTTCAGCAGCATCTATTCAGATCCTTTGCTCATTTTTAAATTGAGTATTTGTCTATCTTTTTAGTTACAAAGTTCATTTTAGGTTTTAATACTAGTCCCTTATCAGACATATGATTTGCAAATTTTTTCTCCCATTTTTGGGTTGTATTTTCACTTTCTCGATGGTGTTCTTTGAAGCATGAATATTTTAAATTTTGCTGAAGTCCAATTGATCTACTTTGTCTTTTGCGTTTTTGGTGTCATATCTAAGAATCCTTTCTCAAATCCAAAGTCATGAAGATTTATGCCATGTTGTCTTCCAACAGTTTAATAGTTTTAGCTCTTACAAAAATAGTATTTAATTGTTTTTTTAAAAAAAACACTAGAGTGACATTGGTATTGTGGAAACTGGATTTGGTATCAAAAGCCAGGCATGGGCTTTTGTACTGGCTAGCTGTGACTTTGGAGGATTGGGTTTAAAAGTACTGTTATAAATTGAAGCTAATATAGTTTGCATTCCATTTTATAGGATTTTAGTTAGTATTGAACAATGTCAAGAAAGTCAAAGTTCTTCAGAAAGTGTCAAGTATAAATAAAACTTCCAACTACAAGTAACATATAAAGAGGAAAGAGGAATCAAGAGCTTTGGAACTGTTAGGTAAAAATTGAAACAGTTTTAGGATTATTAATTTGGAGGTAAAGTAACTTGAATCCGCATTTCCCACCCCACAGTGTAGTAAATTGCAAAATAGCTAAAAATTGATCATCATAGATTAGCTCTAAAACAATATCTAAGAGATAATATAAAAGCTTATTCTGTTTGCTTGGAGAAGCTAAATTTATTTTGTTTCAAGAAATCAAGTGTGGCATCAATGATGAGTATATTTCAATGTGTCAGAAGATAAGAAACAGAAAGGAGAAATGTATAATGTCAGATATCACAAAAAATTATTCAAACTACTTAATATACATATAGAAAGACAAATAGTAAATATGAAAAATGAAGATCCAGAGATTGCTATTGACTTGTTTAAAAGAGATGCTCAGGTGATTTATAGGTACAGCAAAAGGATGGTAACTCAGCATAAGTTTAAGTAGGCAGCTGTCGTGATGGCAGGACTATGAGGAAACAGGGATAATGAAACCTTCCTGGCATGAATCAAAACGTGACTGCTACTTTAAATGAATTAAAATAAAACATGTCATTTCAACTTCTTACAGGGTCTTCTGCAAAATTACGATGAGTTATGTCAGGAAGTCCCTTCTGTGTTTGTCAATCTGATGACACCTAAAATGAAAAAGGTTGGTATTGCTGAAGGTTTATATTGATTTTCCTGTTATTTAAAATTAGATTTTGGTTCTATAAATCTACAGATTTTGGAATATCTATTCTTCTTTAGGCTCTCTCTCTTTCTAGTTCAATTTTATAGCTCTTTTTTTTTTTTTTTTAGAGTTTCTTGTCTAAGTTTCATTGCCTTTGAAAAAACAACAATCTAAATCATGAACACTTTTTCTGAAAATTCATGATTGTTTCCTGGACAGCCAAAGATGGTTAAAAATAAAAAGTCATCTTTATTAGGTGTAGTAGAGGGAAAATATATGTAAAAAATAGAACATGTAATATTTGCAGGTGATAAATCCTTTTCTATAAGTGCAGATGCTCCTGCTAATAATAGAAGCTGTTGTGTTTGTGCCATTTCTAGGTGGAATCTGTGTTGAGGCAAGGACTCACAGTGTTAACATGGTCGTCTTTAACACTGGAAAGCTTCTTTCGAGAAGTTGAATCAGTTTTGGATATGTTCAATCAACTTTTAAAGAAGGTATGATCTATACATTTAAAAAGCTATCAACATTAATACTCAGGATATAAGTAATATTTTGATTATTATGAAAGTAATAGTCATTGATTATTATGAATACTCAGGATATAAGTAATAGTTTGATTATTATTTAAAGGGCATGACTTTTAACCAAAAGGACATCCATTATGTTTAAAACAGAATGCTTTTATGTTTCTTTTACTGGATCAGTGTCTTCATTTAAGGTTGCTTTGTTCTTATCCCTGAATTACCTTGCCTTTAATATATTAAAATGACGGTTCAACTTTGCACTGTAGCTTAGAATATGGGATAATTGTAGACTGTCAAAGTTGGCAGAGGAGAGCACTTAAATATTAATATTAATGCATTTACTATAAACTAGATGAGAGGATCATCAAATTGAAGATTGTCTATTGATTTCTGACATGTTGTTTACATAGAACATGCCTGTCATTTTAGATGTGCTAGTCTGTGACGGCAGCATGGTGTAACAGACAAACTCAGAGGCTTTGGAGTTAGATAAACCTGGGTAGGATTCTCTACCTTTTACTAACTATGGGTTCCTTCCCAGGTTACTTTACTTCTAATAGCCTTGGTGTCTTTAGCTGTAAAACTGGGATATCAGTGCCTCCTGTGCTGGACTCAGGTTTAAAGGAGATAACACATATAAGGTTATGGCACATGTTAGTGCTCAAGAAAAATTTAGTTTTATGTCAAGCTTTCTTTGCAGATGTCCTCCTAAAATGTTCACCAAATTATGCTTGGCTCAAGATTCAAGTTTCTAGATTTAGCCTCCTAAATTAATTTATAACTCAAGCTTCTTTTGGATGAAAACCTGCTTTAAAGGAAAGAAGGTTTTTTTTCTTACATTTTTCTTCCTTATAGATCAGTGACTTGTGTGAAATGCGTATTGATACAGTTCTAAAAGAGATAGCCAAAACCGTGTTGATTTCTCTGCCTGAAAGTGGTGCTACCAAAGTAGAAGATATGTTGACCCTCAATGAGGTATGCATTTGTTCATTAAATTATAATCACAAAAATATTGGCTTATAAACCTAAAATGTGAAATTTCTGTCTAACAGTAGAACTCTGGCCAGTAGCATTTAGACATTTTAGCTTTTTTTTTTTTTTTTTCCATTCGCTGCTCTAAGGACTTTCTTGGCTTCGACAGCAAAAACCCTGGCCACACCCTAGACTAACATTTTGTTAATATCCTCAACCTAATGCTGGCATTTCCTGGGTCTCTGTAAGTGGTTCACAGCTCTTCTTCCACTGCGCATGGCTACCAGGGCCATATCATCTCTTTCATGGCTTTAACTACAACATACTTTCCCTGTAAGTCACTCAGAAACTGGGAATCATCTGGCCTCCTTTCCTCACCTTCATTTCCTGTATCCAGCCAGTCCTGAGAGGCTTAAGGATTTTTTTTTTTTTTTTTTTTTTGAGATGAGGTTTCACTCTTACCACCCAGGCTGGTGTGCAATGATGCAATCTCGGCTCACTGCAAACTCCACCTGCTAGATTCAATCGATTCTCCTGCCTCAGCCTCTGGAGTAGCTGGGATTACAGGCATATACCACCACACCTGGCTAATTTTTGTATTTTTAGTAGAGACAGGGTTTTGCCATGTTGGTCAGGCTGGTCTCTAACTCCTGACCTCAGGTGATCCACCATGTTGGCCTCCCAAAGTGCTGGGATTATAGGCATGAGCCACTGCACCCGGCCTAGGATTGTTTTCTTACTCAGATTTTGCTTGAATTTCAGCCTGTTCTTTCCCTTTCTAGGTCAGCCACTTACTGAGCATTTTGACTTTAGCAATTCATGTGGTGATCTAACTGGTCTGTCTGCTTCCATGTTTGCTCCAACACATCCATCCCCATTGTCAAGTCTGATTGTGAAACGCCCCAGCTTAAATCCTTGTTGGCAGTGGCACCTCGTCCTTGCAGGATAAAATCTAACCTCTTCAGCACTGTGTTATATTGTAACTGTTTGAATACCTATTTATCCTACAGTGATTCAAAGGCACAAAGACAGGAACTCTGTCTAATCATTTTCAAGGCCCAGTACATAATGCAACCTCTCTCAAGAGCACTAAATTTATGTCTTGAACGGAACTTTTTGTTTCTTCCTTTTTTGAGACAGGATCTTGCTTTGTCACCCAGGCTGTTTTGCAGTGGTATGGCCATCGCTCACTGCAGCCTTGACATGCTGGGCTCAAGTGATCTTCCCATTTCCGCCTTTCAAGTAGCTGAGACTATAGGTGCATACTACCACACCTTGCTAATTAAAAAAATTTTGGAGTTAAGGGGAAGACAGGGTTTCACCATGTTGCCCAGGCTGGTCTTGAAGTCCTGAGCTCAAGCAATCCACCCACTTTGGCTTCCCAAAGTGCTGGGATTACAGGTGTGAGCCACCATGCCCAGCCTTAAAATTATTTGTTCTCAGTTTTGGGGTTTTGGCTGTAACTGAGACAACATTAAACAATCAATTAAATTAAATTAATTAATTAATTTTTTGAGATGGAGTCTGTCACCCAGCCTGGAGTTCAGTGGCAAGATCATGGCTCACTGCAGGCTGGAATTCCTGGGCTTAATGCCATTCTCCTACCTTATCCTCCCAAAGTGCTGGGATTGTAAGCATGAGCCACCTTGCCCAACAGATGACCCATTTTAATATGCTGTTCTTAGTGTGTTCAAGTTTAAGATGATTATATCTTCCTGATTGGTTGTTCCTTCATCATTATTGATTAAAATTTTTATCCTGAAATTTTATTTTGTTTGATATTGATGTAATTATATCAGATTTTTCAAGTTACTATTTTTCAGATGTGTCTTTTTCCATTTTATCACTTTCATCCTTTTTGGGTTCTCCTATTTTAGGTTTTTGTTCTTGTAAAGAACATTTCACTGTGTTTTATTTTAAATCTATTCTGAAAGTCTGTTTTTAAAAAACTGGTAATTTTGACCTATTTACATTAATTTTAACTCTCAATATTTTTGGCTATACTTCTCCTTGCCCTCTTTTTAAAATTTACTCTATTTACTTATCTATTTCTAGAAGTTATTTTGTATTCTTTTTCAAATATGTCTGATATTTTTATGTAATCTTTTTCTCGTCTTTATTCTAATTTTCTTTAGACATTAAAAAATATTTTATATTTTACAAATAACTTCCTTATCTGAAAAAAATGGGGGAGTCTAATTCTGCTCTGTGCTGTTTCTACCAACTCTTGCCCAGAATGGTTTCTTTCTTTGTGTTTTTTGCATTTTTGGATTGTGAGCTAATGCACACGTATCTATTTGTGGGAATGCTGGACAGCCTTGGTTGAGAACCTGTTTCTTTTTATTTATTCCTGCATGGTGCCTAGGAGTTTTACCAACTTGGGGCAACTTTATGTTAGTTTCTCAGAGGATAGAATTTCCAAAACTTCATAGATTGTATAAACTGAAGCCCCAAAACTATGTAAGGGTAAGCTAGTTGTAAATTCTCAGGGGAGAATTTGCTCCCCGAGCCCACGCCTCAACCAAGGTAGCTGACTTTCCTTTCTAGTCTACTCTTTCTCTGAGGGAATAGCCCTTGATTTGCCTGATATTAAGCGAGGATGAGAATGGGGTAGGTCTCAGTTCCAGCCTCTCACCATTGTGAGGGATCCAAGGCCTTATTTGTGTTTTTTTTTTGTGTGGTTATGGAACAAAAAAAAAAAGCTCCATAGAATCTATGGTTTCAGCTTGCTTTTTGTTTTAGTTTCTATACTTAAAAAAATTAACATATAACATATTCTCAGAAAAGTGCACAAATCTTAAGTGCACCATTCAATGAATGTTTACATATGATACACCCTTGTAACTATCTCCATGATCAAGATATGAAACACTTTCTGTATCCCAAATGATTCCTTTGTGTTTTATTCCAGCCAATAACACCTCCTTCTCACCCCTAAAAGCCATCACCATTGGACTTCTATCAATGTGTATTAGTTTTGCCTGTTTTTGAACTTCATGTAAATGGAATGGTACAGCATATATTCTCTATTTCTGGCTTCTTTTGTTCATATTTATGTTATATTTTTCTTTTATTTATGTTATATTTTTCTTCTTTTGTTATATTTATGAGATTCATCTTTGCAGTTGTGATGTATTCGTTCTTTCATTTCAACTTCTCATTGCTGTATAGTATTCCATAATATGGATTTAGTACAATTTACTTATTCATTCTACTGTTGAGGGCATTTAGATTATTTACAGCTTTTGGTTATACACTAAGCATTCTTATAAATTTTTTTTGTGTGGACTTAAGCACTAATTTGGTGGGTATATACCCCAAAGGGAAATTGTTGAGTCACAGATTACGAACATATTTATCGTGAATAGAAATTGTGTTTTTAGAGTTTGTCTCTGAACCAGGAGCCAGACAAGTTCATGCTTTACATTTGATTGATATGTCTCTTTAAGTTTTCAAAATCATTTCCCACTCCCCACTCTTCGTTTTGGCTGGAAACTTTTTTACTGTGATAAAATATACTAACATAAAATTTACCATTTCAATTGTACAACTTAGTGGCATTAGTTACATTCACAATGTTATATAACCATTACAATTATCTATTTCCAAAACTTTTTCATCATCTCAAACTAAAACTCTCTACCAATTATACAATAAGTCTCTAGTGGTAGTGCTAAGTCTCAATAGTGTGAGTCAAGATGCAGGAGGCAGAATTCTGAAGAGCACACTTGCCGAGCAGTATGCCCAGTCACTTGCCCTGGAGTGATCTAAGATCTAGTAACAGCTGGGCTGTCTTCTCACAAACCTACCATCAGGTGGCCATGATATTGAAGGCAGAGTATGATTTGTCATGACATAGCAAGTCGATCGCCCTCCGGACAGCAATCAGTTTTGGAAACACCACATACATAACGCTAATTTTTTGAGACAAAGTTGGTTTTTGTTATCTGAAGATAATATTTGGGGACCAGGGCTACTTGCAGTCAGGGCAGTGTTCCTTGTCTTGGAGCATCCAAGGGTGGTTTAGGACAGATTATGTGAATTACTAAAAAGCTTTCTTCTGTTAATTTTCAATTGTTCCTTCTGTCCTGTGATCCTAGGGCTGATAGGACTTTTCTCCTTGGCCAGCTGGCTCCCTTTTAGGCTGCCAGTGGGTGTCTAGAAGGATGCTGGAGGAGAGAGAAGGCGCTTGCTCTTTCCTGATTTACCTTCTGTTCCTGGCTGCCGCACCCACAACAGCTCTTCACTCTGGCAACAGCACTTAGTCCCAGGGCTGACTTTCCCAGCCCTTCCAGAACTAGCTCCATGGGCCCTTCATGGTGCCAGCATCATGAGGTCCCTCTCTGAGCTCCTGAGGTAGCAGAGCCAGCTGGGCAGCCCCCTCACTTCTCTGCTCCAGGTTTTAATAACTCCATCCTCCTCCCAAGTCTAGGGATGCTTGCTGTTTCCTGCTGTTACTATTATATCTCTGTGTGCCGTCAGTGTCCCTGTTAGTATTTTGGGTCCTTAAATTCTCTAATTCTTTTTTTTTTTTTGAGACAGACTTTCACTCATGTTACCCAGGCTGGAGTGCAATGGCGCGATCTCGGCTCACCGCAACCTCCGCCTCCTGGGTTCAGGCAATTCTCCTGCCTCAGCCTCCTGAGTCGCTGGGATTACAGGCATGCACCACCATGCCCAGCTAATTTTTTTTGTAGTTTTAGTAGAGACGGGTTTCACTATGTTGACTAGGATGGTCTCGATCTCTTGACCTCGTAATCCACCCGCCTCGGCCTCCCAAAGTGCTGGGATTACAGGCTTGAGCCACCGCGCCCGGCCTAAATTCTCTAATTCTATTTGTTATAATAGCTGGTGTGTCTTCTGTTTTCCTCACTGGAGTCAACTGACACTTGTGTCTCGAGAGATGTACCAATGGAATAGAAAATCAGGGAAATGTTGTGATCCAAGTTATGATAAGAAAACACTGTTAAATAATTAAGGGATATTAAAAATTCTGTCAACAAAATCAACTTGGGGCCAGCCTCCCAAGTAGCTGGAATTACAGGCGTGTGCCACCATACCCGGCTAATGTTTGTACTTTTAGTAGAGACAAGGTTTTGCCATGTTGGCCAGGCTGGTCTCAAACCCCTGACTTCAAATCATCCACCAGCCTAGGCCTCCCAAAGTGCCAGGAGTACAAGCATGAGCCACTGCGTGCAATCTCATGTGCTTATTAACCTTTTATATGCTTTCCTTTAGAAGCTGTATTCAGATCCTTTGCTCGTTTTTAAATTGGATATTTGTCTTGTTTTTGAGTTGTAATAATGTTTTTATACATACTAGTTCCTTATCAGATATATGATTTACATTTCTTTCTCCCACTCCTTGGGTTGTCTTTTCAATTTCTTTATAGTGTTCTTTGACACAGAAGTGTTTAATTTTGATGCAGTCTAATTTATCAAATTTTTCTTTTTTTTGTTCTGCTTTTGGTGTCATATCTAAGATACCTTTGCCTAATCCAAGGTCATGAAGATTTATGCCTATATTTTCCTCTAAGAGTTTTTTTAGTTTTAGTTCTGAAATTTTAGGCCTATTTAGATCCATTTTGAGTAAATCTGTTTGTACGGTGTAAGGAGAAGGTCCCATTTCACTTTTTCGCAAGTAGATATTCAGTTGTCCCAGCACCAATTGTTGAATCCCATTAACTTTACTATTATATGGTATTGGAGACATATGGAAGAACTTATATGACATTCTCCCATTTGTTCTTGTGGGTATATTCTTTTCAAAAGATTACTATATGTTATTTTGTCGAGGTTTCTGGATATATCATGGGGACGCCAAGATAAACATGTGTGTTCAATCTGCCAAGTTAACTAGAGTGTCTGGTTCCTGAGGGGATTTCAAAGCTAGGATATATAAACACATATGTCCAATCTGCCATAATCAACTGGAATTGTCTACTTGTTTAACATTCATTTTCCCTGTTAGACTGAAGTGGCTTCTAGCCTCCATTACCATTCCAGTGTTTAGCACTGCACTGAATAAATTAAAAAGGACAAAATGAATGAACGATGGAGCAAGGTCAGAAGTGTTGGTGGGCATGGAGGGGATCAGAGCATGTCTTTGGATAGGAGGAGGAACACCATGTCCCTTGGGACTAAAAAATGATGAGAATGCATTCGGATACATATTAGATGGTCAAGAAGGGAATACATGGGGGCAGAACATGGGAATATGGAACTTCCCAAAACTTTTCTGGAGAGGAGTGTGCGTGGACTTAGGATCCTCTGCATATGTATTCTTGAAGGCCCAAAGTGGCTGCTTGTATTTACATTTTTTTTTTCTGAGACAGGGTCTTGCTCTGTTGCCCAGGCCAGAATGCAGTGGTGCGGGCATGGTTCACTGCTGCCTCCTGGTCTCAAGCAATCCTCTTGCCTCAACCTTCTGAATAGGTGGGACCACAGGCACACACCACCATGCCTGGCTAATTTCTAAAAAATTTATTGGAGAGATGGGGTCTCGCTATGTTGCCCAGGCTGGTCTCAGGTTCCTGGGCTCAAGCAGTCCTCCCTCTTCAGCCTCCCAAAGTGCTACGATTACAGGTATAAGCCACTGCACCTGGCCCTGATTTACTTTTCCTTTTCTTTTTAGAGATGAGGCCTTGTGCTGTCACTCAGGTTGGAGTGCAGTGGTACGTACGATCATGGCTTACTGCAGCCTTGAACTCCTGGGCATGAGTGATCCTCTTGCTTCAGCCTCCCAAGTAGCTAGGATTACAGGCACAAGCCACTGCATCCAACTAATTTTCCTTTTCCTAAAATGAGTGTATTTTATGGGCATGTCAAAAGACTTACTGAACTTTATAAACCAGTTTTCTTTTCTGAATTTGACTAGTTCTCAACTTCTTTCTAAAGCATTTGCTGACTATTAGAATTTAGAAAGACAAAGCACAGGTGTTTTAAACCAGACAAAACTTTTCTTTCTTTGTTTATTTTTAAAAAAAAATTGTTTAAAAAATTTATTTTATTGCATTTTAGGTTTTGGGGTACATGTGAAGAACATGCAAGATTGTTGCATAGGTACACACGTGGCAGTGTGATTTGCTGCCTTCCTCCCCGTCACCTATATCTGGCATTTCTCCCCATGCTATCTCTCCCAAATACAGTTCTTTCCAACTACTGTGTGACCTGGGAAAATTTCTTATTCTTTCTGAGCCTCAGTTTTCTCTGCTGTGAAATTAGGACCATAATATTACTCATCCCAAGATCAGTGTTTAATTAAATGAGTTAATACGTGTAAAGCTCTTAAGTTGATGCCTGTCATGCAACATCATGCTCAGTTAAAAGCTTTATCTAATTTAACTCTCCAAACCAATACTCTGGATGTCTTCTTTTAAAACCACATCTGATTTTCAATTTCTGCCATCATCTTCTCTCTACTCCTTCAGCCTTCTTTGTTTTCACCCACATGAATGTGAAGGTAGATTTCTATGTGTGATTGAGTCAGGTATAGGTAGGTCAAAGATGGACTTTTTCATCTTTTTGCTGTTCTTTAGACTTAGCAGCTGTGCTTTTAGCCATTGACAGTTTTGGATCTGAAACATTATGCCATTTTCAACTATCTCCAGCTTTGTTTTCAAGTAAAGTTAATTATAGTTTTATAAATTAAAGGAATAGGACTAATTTTCACAGTGTCACTTTTAAGTATCTGGAAAATAATAGTCATTTCTTTATTTAACAGACATACACAAAAGAATGGGCTGAAATTCTAAACCACAAAAGCAAGCATGTGGAAGAAGCTGTCAGAGAACTTATATCAATATTTGAGCAAATTTATGAAGTGAAATACACTGGGAAAGCAGGAAAACAGCCAACAGGTAACTTTTCTTGTTATTATGTTTGAATTACAAGAGCTACAGATATGTTCTTATGTAAGCATCTTCTGCTTAGCAGGTACTGAATTCCAGATCCTCCCTTCCCCAGAAGTAAAGAAGGAGTTCAGCATAAATCACACTGTACAAACAGTTTAAGCCTAGAGAGTTCTTTCTGTTAGTTAGGGAATGGTGGGAACCCCTCCAAATCCAAGTTCCCAACCTAGGATCATCCTTGCAAGCAGGCCTTTCTATGGATAGCAGTCTCAGGCCAGCTATGCTAACTTTATTTTTTCTGGTGCAGCATTCTAATCAAGTCACTTTGACGGTTTGATTTATTTTCCTTTTTTTGGGGAAAAGTGAACCAGGAAAATGTTAATTCTATCATTTTCTTGAATCTGGAAAACTTAATTTGAGTGAGACCACGTTTTAAGACTTTTTTCTTTTCCTAGAGTTTTCTCTGTGTAGAGTAAGCTATGTATTCCTACTTAGAACTGTCTTTGGGGTTTGGGTACAGATAAATGGTGCTTAGTTGAAGAGTGCACTACCAAGGAAGAAGACACTATCCTGAAGCATGTATTTTCCACCATCCATTCCTCCTCCCGTGATTTAAAGAATGGCCTAAAAGGCTCTGTGTCATAACTCTAACTTTTGATTCTGCCCACGCCTTTATAATCTTCATTCAGTTGGCTTCACTGGGACCAAGAGAAACTTCCTTACTTCTTCACATCTGTTCAGGCAAATTTGTATGACAAGGTGCCTGGATTATTTCAAGTGGATGAAATAATTTTTACCCTCTTGAATTTCCTGTTCTCTCAATAAGTTCTAATAGTTTCAGTTTTATTAATAAGCCCGAGAGAGAAGCTATTGAATTTTAATCCTCTTTATCAGGGGCAGGGAATTTTAGGAAAGGATTCCCTAGTATGGGAGTGTTTTGCTTCCTAGATTATGGTTTAAGAACATGGAACTTTTAGCTTTGCTCAGCTTGTCCTGTCCTAGAGATCTCAAATCTTTAGATAAATTGAAAGAGAAAGACATATGTCATTTTAAAGTTTTGTTTTCAAGCTCTAAATAAGAACTTATTAGGTAAAACTTTGCAGTTGGAGGTTTTACTTGTGAGTATTGTGAGGGGATGTGCCTGTCAATCACAATTCCTGTTTGCTTCATACCTGCTCTTCTCCCCATCTGCTGCTCAGGGAAGGAGTGTGAGGCTGGCTTCAAGCAAGGCAAGCCACTGATTGCACCAGAAGTGGGTCACTGACACAGAGTGTGTCACCTAGACTCCAAGGAGATGTGAGAGATGGCTCTGCCTAACAGGGAGGAAGTTAATTAGCTAATTACCAACATACTTGAAGTAGGGAATCTGTGTGAAGTTGACATTTTGGAGTGAGAGAACATTCTAGTCAAGCAGAGATCCCATGGAAGTGACATAGCAAGGAGGGAGAGAGAGAGAGAGAGAGAGAGAGAGAGAGAGAGAGACAGACAGACAGAAGAGATAAATCTGGGCCTGGAACAGTAGTTCTCAATGGGACTGTAAGGAATTTTCCCCTTAAAGGAATATCTGGCAAGGTCTGGATGTATTTTTGGTTGTTACACAGTATGGGGAGGGGGTTTGCTACTAACTTCTGGTGGATACAGGCCAGGGATGCTGTTACACATTCTACAGGACAGCCCCCAGCAACAAAGAATTGTCCCACCCAAGATGTCAGTAGTGCTGAGAATGAGAAATCCTGAGCCTAGAATGAGTATGCACATCACATCTTTCCTCTTAGAGTTTTTACACTTAGTTTAATTAGTTTTCATTACAAGTGTCAAAAAATACAAAGATATCATTTCATTCAAGTTAGAGAACTCAAATGGTAAACAGATAATTTAGAAGGATAACAGATAAAACTTTCTTAAAACTTTTCTAAAATCTAGATTGTATATTTACAGAGTGATTTCTTAGTACAATGATGATTCTATTGAAATGGATAATTTATTTTTATTTTTTTATTTTTTTCCCCATTTAATTATTTTATTGCATTTTAGGTTTGGGGGTACATGGGAAGAACATGCAAGATTGTTGCATAGGTACACACGTGGCAGTGTGATTTGCTGCCTTCCTCCCCATCACCTACATCTGGCATCTCTCCCCTTGCTATCTCTCCCCAGCTCCCCACTCC